CAAACAGAGACAGGCAGAGAGTGACACAGACAGGCAGGCAGACAGAGACAGACAGAGAGTGACACAGACAGGCAGGCAGACAGAGACAGACAGAGAATGACACAGACAGGCAGGCAGACACACACACACCTTGTCGTAGTCGTACTGTGACGAGCAGCGCGGGTCAAAGCGGAGGTACAGGCACCGTGCCCCGGGGATGTGCACAGTCTCCTTGAACTTGTAGTTGTCCCGTACCGGGTGCACCGTCTCCACGGTCTTGCCCGCCGCCCAAGGTGCTGGGATCTTCAGTCCCGTCAGGAAGCCGGGCTCCTCACGTTCCTCCAGGATCCGCAGACTGCAGAGGAAATGCCGTCAAGGACGCCACTCAGCAGGACCTGCAATCTGCGCCTTAGGGCAGTACTACCTGTCGTCAGCAGGGGTCACCTTCCCCCTTGGTCCAGGGGGCCCTGATGTAGGTGTGGCACCTTCCGTAAAGAGGGGGGACTGGGTCTTCAGCAGCAATGCAGTCTGGGAACAATGATGGAAAACACAAAAGTCAGACAGAGACACAGGAGAGAAGCAACAGACGCCGTACCATCAAGGAAGAAGCGTGCAAACAAACAGCGATGTACATGACACAGTCCTGCCCCTCCCGCACATAAAGGCGTTTGTGTAGGTCTGTGGATGGAAAACTCAATTAACAGCTCATATTCAGCCCCATCTTACAAGATGGCCACAGAGTCAAGTATAAACTCTTATTCTATTACTTTCCAATTACTCACAACAATCAAGCCTCCCAGGAGAAAGCTGAAACTTGTACAGGCCACAGCTGATGTTTCCCCAACTACCAGATGATAACGGTTTGCCATACGAGCTAGTTAATGAACCGGCTCTCGCTGCACATGGGGATAGTTTAATGACCAGCATGTGGGCGTTTAACCAGACCGCTTACAGAAGCTGTTTGGGAGGATTATTTAAACAAAACACAGAAAGGTTATAAATAGTTTATAAGACGCTCGCGTTTCCAGGGAACCCGGCACTTGCGGACGGCACAGGAGATGGCGGCAGTGAACCTGGCTGGTGTAGAGAACCAGCTGAACCAGCTGAGCCATGAGAGCGTCGGCCAGGGTGAGAGTCTGCAGGTTGGGGTGCATCAGCGACGTCAGCAGAACTGGCAACAGGTGGCCCAACATGGTGGCCTTGGTCACCTGTTCCAGGCCCTTCAGCCTGCGGCAGAGCGGAGAGAATGAGAGATGGAGACGGGGAGATGGGCAGGTGCACAGAGGGACAGAAAGGAGGAACCGGAGAAGAGGAGCCGGAGGGAGGCAGAGTGGCACAACAGAGGAAGAGGATGGGAGGGAAGGTAGTGGAGAGAGAGTGGGAGATGGGCGGGTGCACAGAGAAAAGAAGGAGAGAGAGATGGAGAGGAGGAGACGGAAGGAGGCAAGGGGGCACACAGAAAAAGAAGGATGGGAAGGGAGGCAGAGGAGATGGAGCGGAAAGAGGGAATGGGAGTTGGAGATGGAGGGGGAGAAGGGCAAGTGCACAGAAGAAAAAACGAGAGAGATGGAGCAGAGGAGACAGAGGGAGGTACGGCGGCACTCAGAAAGAGGAGGATGGGAGACCAAGAAGAGAGACGGGGGGGGAGATCCAAATACATTATCACTGCAGATCTGAGTGGCTGCTGGCCCAGCACAGGGAAGCCATTTCTATTTTATGTTTCCTCTCTGAAAAGCATCAGTGTAATAAAGGCGCTCTGCAGCCACCAGAGCATTTCAGCTTTTTAAATTCACCTGCCTCAGGTCAGCGGGCAAGCTGTGCGTCAGCTCAAATGAAACATCATCAGATCAAAGCCCAGGCCTGTCGCCAGATGTGACACGACCCCCCCCCCCCCATTTCCCGCCAGAGCGTCCGGCCCCCGCAGGCGCACCTGCTCTCCCGGTCGGGGATGTCGCTGTTGATCAGGGCGGTGGTGACCTGCTGCAGCGTCTCCAACACCTCGTCACAGCCAACCAGCACCTTGGTCGCTAGGGACAGGATGCTGGCCTGCAGTTCCTGGGAATGACAGACAAGCCCGCTTCCGTGACAGCTTCCCCTCTGAGGACACAGGCTGACACACCTGCCACCTCACTCCATTAGTCAGCATGGAGGTTGGCCCACCGTGGATGACCCCAGAGTAAACCCCAAACTCTACACAGTCAACACCAGGCTGAGAATGCTCTGGGCTTTGCACTGAAGGGTAGTCAAAGCCAGGGCAATGAACAGTTTAAGGCCCATCAGATTTACCGTAATCCCACTGCAACAATAAATCTAATGAGCATCAGCTTATTAGCTTATCACAAAAATGGGAGAACTGAATTATACACAAAATTACACCTCTACGAATCACCCAGTATTCAAGTTACTGTACAAGCACCAAATTAAAGGGCCAGTACCTGCTTTTCAAAGCCTCACGCCGTTTCCAAATCAGACGTGAAACACACTCAAAAATTTGAAAAATAATTTCAAGGGTAGAATTCATGAACATGGCTATCCCAACTAATGACCTTTCCAAAGTTTTTCTTACAAACCTTGCATAGTGAAGTATCCCTCAATGTCTTTCAGTAACTGTTCCTACTAACGATTATTCCCACAATACACCTCTCTGAAAGACCCCCCTCGGTGCCGAGGGAAGCAGTAGCATAAAAACATAGCACATACAGCAGGCTTCACAAAACCTCTGCAAAATGAAAGCCATTGTCACAGAAATGGGAGAGGCTGGCTACCCAGCATGCATTGCCTCTGCCCTCACAAGCAAAGCTGGGCCAGCGAGCCACAGGGGCGGCCACACGCACAGCAGAATGGGTATTTAAAGGGGATGTTTACCTGTACCTTCATTGTTTCCCCTTGCAGGGAGCTGTCACTGTCATCACTGTCATCGGGGCGGATCAGAACCGTGTTGCTGAGCAGGTGGTTCTGAACAGCCATGAGGTAGCGCAGGCTAGGGGAGGCCACCTGCCATGGGGAGGGGGAATGTGCACTTTAAAGTCTTTAGTTTGGTTTTATTTTAAAACATAGTGTAATTAATGTAGCATATAATGAAGGAATTTGGGACAAATATAAAAAAATCAACTAGTGGAGGGAAAAATCTCTCAACCCCCCCCCCCCCCAGAGATACACACACCCAGCCTGAGAACAAAAGTCCTGGAACAAAATTAGAGTAATAATCCTAGTAATCAAAATCATTCAGACTCCGAATTACAGAGATAATACACAGCAAAGGCCGCACACGCACTGGCACAGTGGAGAGAAGCTTCTGGAAGTCATCCTTGGTGATGGTCTGACACTTGGTGATGAGGAGACAGGACTCCCGGACGACAGTCTTCAGAATACAGTGGAGGAGCTCATCACTCAGCCTGTGGACAGGTGACACCATCAGTCTGCAGAATCTGTCTGACACCATCTCAGTCTGCAGGTGGACTAACACCATCTCAAAGTCAGCAGAGTCTACAAGGCAACCTGACACCATCTCAGAGTCAGTAGAGTCTACAAGGCAGCCTGACAGCATCTCAGAATCAGTAGAGTCTACAAGGCGGCCTGACACCATCTCAGAGTCAGTAGAGTCTACAAGGCGGCCTGACACCATCTTAGAGTCCGCAGGTCACCTGACTCCATCTCAGTTGGGAGAGTCAGCAGGCAGCCTTGCAACATCTCAGAGTCAGCAGCACCCCCTGCCATCTGCCCCAGGCTCCCAGCTTCAGGGAGGCACCAGTATGACTTACACCCACATGATCACTCATGCAGAACCTCAACCTTGAACTGATCTGGCATTTCCTATAGACAGTACACCTCAAACAGCACTTTATACTAAGAATCTGGAAAGATGTCGCCTCCCAAATCAAGATACTGCTTCAGTGTATGAAATCTATTAGGTCACTAAGAGAGAGAAGAGAGTAGAATACTGAGAGAAAGGAAGAACAGACAGCAGATAGGGTCTCCTGGCCTCCTCCCACCTGTAGTGGTCATCATCGTCACTTCCAAAGCGGTTCTTCTGCAGCTGCACGGCGAGGTTAGTGAGGATGACGTCCCGCAGTTGAGAAAGGCCACTGTTACGTTCCCCTGGAAAAGCCCGTCGGGGCACACAGGTTACCCAGCTGTCTGCGGCACCCCCCCAGAGGAGGAATGTTGAGGCCGCACCTAGAAACACCCCACCCCGCTGGTGAACTCCAACCCAAAGCCAACTTGTACAGGACAGGGAGGAAACGACAGCCAAACACTCACCTTCTGTAAGGACAAGCTTCAGTAGGTTATTTAGTTCTGTTTCCCCTTGATACAAGGTGTTTAGCCCCGAACTGCAGCAGGAAAAAGTAATTAAGGAAAGCCCATTCCAGCTGAGGCTTTCAGATACTGGCATGTCAGAGGCCCATCCACGAGTCAGGACTGAAATTCATTATCGTGTGTGTGTGTGTGTGCACGTGTCCGTGAGTGTGCGTACGCACACATTTTAGGAATTATTATACTGTGAGGACCAGATTTCCTCACAATATGATAGAAACAGGACCCACAAAAATAACCTCAATTTCATAAAATCTGTGACTGCAATCAGAAAACTAAAAATTCCAAATGTCTTGTATTTTGTTTGGTTACTTAAGTTAAGGTTAGGGCAGGGTAGGGGTTAGGGTTGCCATTGCTGAGATAAGGGTCATGCTCATTGGAATGAAGAGAGTGTCCCCATAAAGATATGAATACGGGGACTGTGTGTGTATTCTGCAGTGTGTGTGTGTGTGTATTCTGCAATGTTCTGCTGTGTGTGTCCTACAGTGTGTGCGTGTTTGTATTCTGCAATGATCTGCTGTGGGTGTGTATTCTGCAGTGTGTATGTGTGTGTATTCTGCAGTGTGTATGTGTGTGTATTCTGCAGTGTGTATGTGTGTGTATTCTGCAATGTTCTGCTGTGTGTGTCCTACAGTGTGTGCGTGTTTGTATTCTGCAATGATCTGCTGTGGGTGTTTATTCTGCAGTGTATGTGTGTGTATTCTGCAGTGGTGTGCATATGTTCTGCAGTGCGTATGTGTATTCTGAAGTGTTCTGCTGTGGCTGTGTGTATGGGTCACTCCTCAGTGTTTCCAGTGTTACTAATGAGGGTGCATGGCTCATATGGCTGTATGGACACACCACCCCAGTGACCATTTACCTGATGGCCAGGCACACCTCCCTTTGGATCTCGGCACCGATCTGATCGGCTGGCGCCATCAGGAGCTGCCACAGGAGGAGGCCGGAGCGCCGCACACTTTCACGGTTCTGCTCTGACTGCGGGTTAAAAAATCTAAACACCACCTTAGGGCAGAAGACCAAGAAAAACCATCACCACGATGGAGTGAGAGAGGAGTGTGGCAGGGGCGGCTTGCGGCGGGGACAGTACCTGGAAGACCACCAGGATACAGCGGATGATGCAGGTGTCCCCGTTGACCATAGCCTTCTCCATGATGTCGCAGATGCTGCTGAAATGCTGGGCCTCGATGGGCTGCTGCTTGCCCAGGAAGGCCCCAGCCGGGAGGCCGCCGCCGCTGGCCGCCAGCACATTGAGCTGGTGGATGCACATGGCCCCCACATGGTGCAGCAGCTGGCTGATCACCTCGCTCGTGGGCACAGTCTCCTCTGCTGACAGATGAAATTCCGCACATGTTCTTCCTTACGCAGAATTCAGTTCAGAGCTTTGCTACCTCTCACTCCAACAAAAAGTACTCTACTAGAAAACATCAGCCCGAGTCAGTCAGGGATGAGTTTGGATAAAGGTCCGTCAAAGGCTCGAGTCTCCATCCCCATCTGGATCATCTCATGACTCACCCTTGGGTTCCTTGATGATGTGGCTGACACCCAGCCTGTGGCATACATGATGAAAGGCCTGGTTGCCTGGGTTACACCACTGGTCCATGTAGTCGCTGGAGCAGGTCCAGATAAGGTTGTTGAGTGTATCATAGCACGCCCCTGGGTGTAGAAGAGGAGAGGGGGTCAGCAGTCTCTAGGGTAAGACGAGCAAATGCACTTGGAATTCCAAGTTAACATCAGAAGTGCTCCAAGGTGCTGATGCTCTACTGATGATGCATTGTGGGAGCTAGTCCCTAGACACCGTAACTGAAACAGTAACAGCAACTCACTAGCATCACACTTCCACACGTGTTGAGGAGTTCAGTTGTGTTAAGAGTTCCTTACCGAGGCCTGGAACCTGCGCCCCACGTCCCAGAGAGCTGCCCGGGGCGTCGATGAGGTCGGCTCGGCTGCTGAACTGCCCATCCGCAAGACTGAACACCAGGCTGGAGGCCAGGACTGACGGGCCAGGGGAGATGCCATGGTAATTAAGGGAAGAGGCAGAACGGAGCCATCAACAGACTCGACGGAAAGCATGGAGGGCAAGACCGTGGAGTGGTGAGAGGCCGCACAGCGGGGTGGCCGTGCACAGGAGGCTTTCACTTACTCTTAAGTGATGAAAGGCCGCTGCTGCCCCCGAACAAGGAGCGCGTGGCTGAGCTCCCAGACACCCCGGGGGGTGATGCCAGCATCACCAGGTAGGTGCCGCACACGTACATGGGGGTCCTGCGCAGCGTCTTAAGGGGCAGCCCGCAGCTGGTATTCACTGCTATGGAAAAAGGGAGGCTCAAACATTGCCAAAAGGAACTGTCACACAGAGCTATAAGTGGCCAGCAGGAGGCAATATTCACACAAGCAGAGGAAGGATCAGCTTTTACCACTTCAAGTAAACGTCAAAACCACTCAAGGGGATGAGTCTCACTAAACCTGCATAGAAAATACACTGAAAAACCTGCCGATTGTAAAACGGCCTAATCGCCCCCTCCATATAGCAGGATTTTTAGGAGATGAATAGGTCTTAAAATGCCAAGGGTTGGGCTCAATGTGAATCATACAGACTCAAAGAGTAACGGCTGCTTATATGTTGATAACCAAGCATTTTAGCTCAGAAGTTAGCTGATGGCGCTCGGCGAGCTGTAAGCAGTAGCTCCTGCCTCACGTTAGCCCCTCCCCCCTCCTTGGCGTACCAGACTGCTCCTCCTTCACCGTGTTGGTGAGGGCGGAGCCTGTGAGCGCGGCCAGCGTGGCGGAGTGCGAGGCACGGAAGCGCGACATGCGTGACAGAAGCAGGTCGTTCAGACATTTTGAGGACTCGCCCTCCTTGCGCGTCAGGATAACCCGCTCCTGCAGGACTTCCGCCTCGCAGAGGCCTGTCCGAGTCTGTAGGGGGGAGCCGGAGAGCACACCAGTCAGGTCAGGGCCGCTGCCATATGGCGCTTTTCCACTGGCAAACAGGAACTGTGCTGTACTGCAAATAGAGACTAGTTAAAACGCGGTTCCAGCTCGCTTTGGTTTTCCACTGCAGAAGGGTCGGCTTGATAAAGGCTCAGTAAAAGCAACAGTGACGTAAAACCAAAGAAAAACTTTGCTGCTCACACAGTATACATCATGATTTACTATGTGCAATTATTATTATTTTATATATATATCCAATAGCGGGACTGTGAGAATTGCTGTCTTATGTTAGCATCAAATACTAACAGAATTAGCATTCACTTACATAAATTTGCATTACGAAGCCCTTCCTTTCAGTTGTTCTATAATACTTTAAGTAGGTGGTTGGAAATGTTAAAGTTCCAAGTTATCGGGAATGCATCAATACATCGCGATGCACGATGGTACTAATAATGGATAATATATAGAATATACCCTCATTTGCTTCTGATAATCTTGGATATCCGTGAATTGATAGTGACGCAACCAGCTTGGTGTGGTCACTTTTCGGCCCTGCCTACTAGCTCAGGTAAGGCTTGCTAAATTTGCTATGACAAACCCTCAGTTTGTGATATGCCTCGGGTACGGCTTGGTTCTCGGTGGCAGTGGAGAAGCACCATTAGTCTACACACAACAATTTTTCCCAAACTATTCCCAGGATACCAAACTGCTAGGAGCTTGTCCAAACTAACAAAAATCCATCTGTGGGATGATTTTTATGATGCTGTTTAATTACATTTATTCAACTTAATTATACCCATTACCACTTAATTACATTTATTACATATCAAATGAACCTGCTGTCTGATGGCTACATGTTCAGGAAATAAATCATCCTTCATCCTGTTGATTATGTTAAGCAAGTTGAAAGTAAGACTATGAGGAAACTCACCACCAGCTGAAAGACATCCATGAAGACCGAGTGGCCCTTCTGGGTCTTTTCATTGAGGCTGGCTGGAGACCAGATCCAGTACAGGTAGGTCCCATCAGAGCAGAGGTGTAAGGTGGTCATGTTGCTGCCCACAGGGAAATGGTGAGCAGGCATGGGTACGATCTGGCACACCTGCAGGGACCCGAAGCAGGTGCTAAGCAGAGCCCGATCATCCTGACCCCACACATCATAATCACTGACACCAGATCTCTAAATGACATTTACTCACACAAAAATAAATACAAGAATATTGATGTTTAAGTCATGGACTTCTGGAGGTCACCTTATGTAGACACAGTCAATATTTCATGCTGTAAATGAGGGCTAAATTGGGGTGACAACAAAATGTTCGATATGGCTTTTAATTAAAATTTTTTTAATTTCTAACAGATCTATAACTCTCCCAACCTTTAAGTGCAAATTTATACCTTAATCACAAAATGTTTCACTGAAAACCTTACTAATGTAACACGCCTGACAAACCCTTATTTGCAAAACTGAAACAAAGACCTGCCTCCTGACTGCAATAAGCCAATCGAAATATGACCTCGCCATGGTTGCTGGTTTGTACATGCTCAGTATGGCCTCCCACAGTTCCATCACTAATCATACTCACAAAAACCAATCAGCTATTTTTCCACTAATGTCAGCTGCTGTTAGTGGTGGAAAATGTTGTGCCCAAACTGCCCTGGTATGTTTATCTAGTCTAATGTTTGAGAAGAAAATGTAAAACGTGTTTGTTGCACTTCATCAATGGAGTGCTGCTTAAATGAAATCTGGCTTAGTGGTATATGGGAGGGAATGATGTCCATTATTGCTGTGACAGCGGGTTGTCTACCACTGGAATGGGGAGCCGGGGGGAGGGGGTGGTACCTGGAGGCTGAACTGGTCGATGACCTGGCACAGCTGATGAGGCTTGGCATCGAAGGAGGCAGGCCGATGGAGAAGGCGCCCGCTGCCGAACACCAACCAACCAGGCTCCAGCTCCTCATTGCGACAGTACACAAAGCCCCTGGGGATAGAGAAGAGGCCAACGACATCACACTCAGGTGACCACCGACATCATCAGCCCGCGCCGGCAGGGCACACAGAGCATGTCAGCATGCTGTCCTTCTCGGAGGTCGGGGGGGGGGGGGTTGTATTTTTAGCTTGGTAATGGGGTGGGTGTTGTATTACCGCAGAGTCCCATGAAGGCCAGAGCCCAGCTTGCTGATCCCCTTCCCAATGGAGTTGGTGGTGTACAGATAGAGTCCATCCGTGGCTAGGCAACGCCCCAGGTCCGTGTCTGTGACAAGATGGGAGGGGAGACAAGTAAATGAGAGAGAGAGAGAGAGAGAGAGAGAGAGAGAGAGAGAGAGAGAGAGAGAGACTCACACTTAACATCACACTCAGTAACTCACACTTAACATTCCTACATCTACATTTATTTATCACATGGTTTTTTTCGGTCAGGGGGTGAGAGAGCAGAGTCAGCCAGTGTCCCTGGGGCAACTTGGGTTAAGGGTCTTGCTCAAGGGCCCAACAGCAAAATCACTCTACCAACCATGGGATTTGAACCAACAGCCTTCTGATCATGGGCACAGAAGTCGGAGCCACACATCACTTTCTCCCTCTTCCCTTGTCTTTATACCTCATGAACACACACAGCACACGGCCCCAGTTAGCAGCGGTGGTACTGGGGGCCTGCCATAATCTCACGGTTCATGTCCAACCATTTCAGGACCCTGCTCCAGTGCTGGGAACCAGAGTCATGAACCCAGCGAACCATGACGCAGAATCAGCAAGTGAACCAACAAAACATCAGCTGATCTCCAAGCACCGGTGAACTGTATAGGGGCTGTGACCAGAGCACCTTCAATCATTTACTGGCAAATTACAGGACAGTTCATTCACTGCGGAAAGCAGACGCAGCATGTAATGCGCACATGCCAATGGGTTCATCGTTACTCTGAAGCATCCGGGGATTTGTGTGGCTTTTGTCTGGTTTTGTCTGACCTCCCCAGAGTTTCAGCCCAAAATCACATGACCATGGTGCATAGAAAGCCATAAAAGATGTTCTTTAGACTAGGGATTCCCAGTCCCTCGTCCGTGGGCAGTATTCTACAGGGCTGCTGCACGCTAGGGGCAACACAAAGGGGCTGGTTAATCTCCAAAAACAAACAATACATTTCCAGTTTTTTTATAGCCCCACACGTTTTATTTGCATCTGAAAAAAATGGAAAACTTATGAAATCGCTGATCAATCCGCCGGCACCAGCACCTCTTCCTCTGGCTGTCTTACTGCTGTGAATTTTTTGTGCGGCGTAAATCGGGCCACGGACATTAAAAGGCGAATTAAAGTGGCCTCCCCACACACTGTCACACACACAGAACCCAAACCCACACTAAAACACACAAACAGCAGCAGAGAGCAGATAAACTACAGAGGCATCGACACAGTGTGCATAACCCACATAAGTTTTTGTTTAATAGAGATGGTCACCCAGTGAATGGAGGATTTGAGGGAGATCACCAAACCAGGTCACACTGGGATATAAACTGAGAAGCACAGGTCAGCTGAAAATGCCCGAGACCTGCAGGACTGCGCTGTGGGAGGGCCAGGGGGGCCGAGCCGCAGCTCACCTTTGCTCTCGGAGCCTGCCGCAGCGCTGTCTGGTGCTGGCAGCATATCCTCGAAACCCCAGGAGACGCTGTGCTTGCTGCCCAGCAGGCATGATGGCGATCCCGGCCCTCCCTCCAGCAGCAGCAGCCTATGGGAGGTGGGGCAGGCGGTCACATTCTAAACAACACCATACTGGGTTAGTCCAGCCAGCCCAGGCTAAAGTGCTTCTATACAACCAACTACAGGAAACAGTAAGCAGTAACCAGTTTAGCAGCCTCCAATCAACTGCCAGCAGGAAGAAGGATGAAGAGCAAAGCAGGGAGCAACCTGGAGAGCGCGGGGCACTCGCACGGCCTCGCGGGGCCCCTCATAAAATAAAGAACGCAGAAAACTCAAATGCAGAGGACCATTTTGGGCTAGTTGAGAAACTTCACTCAGTGCCCCTTTAAAAAGGAGGTCCTGCCACACTGTTTAACTGGAGATTACAGATATCGAATGAGATGGTTACAGAGAGACTGAAGCCAGTTAAAGCAGATAATGGCACCAACAGACTCAAGATTGACTGACAAAAGAGGAAGAGAGAAGCAGGTGAGAGAAGGCCCTTTCTTTACCTGTACAACACGTCAGCTACTGGAAGCTGCCCCAGGTCTGTCTGCTTCTGCAAGAGGTGCACTGTGTGGATGAAGGTCTTCAGTGAGCCCCTGAAACAGAAGAGGCCGGAAGGAAGCCCATTAGAGCAGGAGCAGACTCTCCAGAGGCCTGGGGTCGCTGTGGCCTGTGTGCCACGTATTTCATCACAACACCTCTAATCTGTGGGGAAAAAGCAGCTGCCACAAATGAACAACAATGCCTCAAACTGAAGATAATACAGTAAATCATACCAAAGAAAGTGTTAATTAATGTGATAGCTGGTAGTAAGTCACACACAAAATATATCTGCAGTGATAGAACTAAGGACAACTGGAAAACATTCTCATTCTGTGCCTGTCTGGGTATGTCCGTGTAATCAGTATATGATCTTGTGAGGTCATACAGGGGGTGAAGTCATCAGTGGGAATTCTGAAACTATACTGCATTCCTATACCCATCTGGATTGGTGACATCTCAGTAATGATACAACCACACTCCCTAATCATACATGTACTTAAGGTTTCATAAATTTACATAGATGAGGTTTTACAAATTTTCACAAAGTTATGCCCGGGACAGACTTTGTATTACAAGTATTTCATCCTTTTTAAAACGAACATTCACATTTTAACCAGTTTTTTTTTTTTCAAGCACGCAAAAGAGATGGCTTTTAAACTGGATTTAAAAATACACGTGACACAAACTCTGGGTGGAGATCTTGGCTAAAAACACAAAGAACTTCAGAACTGTTCGGTTAGAGGACCCTGTTCAACTAGGGGAAAAGGTGCATTCTCTGCAACAGTAGGCATTTCTGAAGCAGGGCACAAAAGGGGACGTTCTGGAGTGCAACACCAGCAGGCCCAGTAATGATATGATTACTGTGTTTGCTACAGGATTTGAACCCATAACCTGGACATGGGAACAGATCTCTAACTCAGATCCCTAAACCAGACAAGTCTGAGCAATAACAGGACAGCAATAACTGTTTCCAACAGTACTGCACAGCCCACTAAGCATTAACACACACAAAAAAAATCTAGCAGCACTGACCTATTTAAAGATGAAAGAGGATGATCGAGGTTTAGTATGTTGTCTGTGCTTCCCTGTGAATAAACTAAAAAACACTAACTCACTAGAGTATCTGTCATAACTGAGTGTACAGTAGCCCCACCCCCCAAGAAAGCAGCAGCCAATCAGCACTGACACATTCTCACCTAGCACAGGCTAGCGCCACCAGGGCGGCGGCAGCATTCTCACGCTGGCGGTGGCCGTGAGGCTGGAGGCCGGCAGGCCGCTGCTGCCTCTGGCCCGGCGCGTCCTCGTCCTCCAGCCAGGAGCAGAGAAGGCCCTCCAGGCCACTGAGGCAGTCAGCGGGCTCCTTGCTCAGGCTGAGCGGTTGACAGTCACGCAGGCAGGCCAGTAGTACCTCAGCGGTGACGCCACAGAGCGCCGGGTCGCTCCGTGACTGCGACTGCAGCAGCGGGAAGACCAGCAGGAGCCCCACGCGCGATGTGAAGGGTGCCTGCTCGGGCTGCTGCAGCAGGCCCTGTCGCTTGAGCAGGGCCAGCGCTTCCTCGTCACCGGCGCCCTCCCGCTCTTGCTGCTCTTCCAGGGCCAGCTGCCGCTGCGCCCCCCAGAGGCCACGCAGTGCATTGAGCCGATACTCCAGCAGACGGGCGTAAGCATTGCTCTGGTTGCCACAGACGGCGCGGAGGCGCTCGGCCAGCTCTGCCGGGTTCTTCGTCTCAAAAGTGAGAATCTGCGGGGTATGGGGGGGGGGGTTATTCGTTAATTGATTATCTTATAATACAGAGGCTTGCATGGCAACCATGACATCACTGCATGTGAACTCCTTTAACTAAAGGCAGTCAATCTTGAGTTGGGCCATAGCAGTCACAGCTGGGCCATGACTCACTCTATGGCCTGATGTCTGACTCGCGTCATGAGGGCAAGGGGCAGGGGGACAAATTTTGACTAAACAGGATTCCCCCAGAGCTGTTCCCCAACTAAGGAAAACTCCAGGGGATGAGCCCATATAACAAGCATGTTTTGGTTCAGCGAGCTAGTCTTCCGGTTTTCAAAGGTGTGGGTTCAAATCCCAGTACCCGATATATCATGACCGCACTAAATCCTCAAAGCTAGCTGTTCATGCCGTGTCACCAAAGGCAGCTGGACCTTAGCCAAAACATTTGGGGGGCTGGACCGTTAAGGGTGCCGGGCCACGCATCTCCCTGAAACCACTAATTTAATCCACCGCTCAAGGAATTTGACTTCAAATATGCGTAAATGAATCCACAAAAATGCCAAATTACAATACCTTAAATCGCCAATGCACGTCATTCAAATTTGCTCAAAAAAAGCATATTATAACGATCATTCAGCAAGACTGATAATGTATAATCATGGTGGCCTCAAGCAATTCAGTTAATGGCTATGCAACATCTGCACTTCAACAACATTTTACAGATATTGATTTTCAAGTGCCCCAGGCTTATTGGTCTTTTGGGTGGGGGGGGGGCATTACAGCATTTAGCAGGTGCATTTTATATTGATTCTGTTTTGGGTCAGATGCTAATGCTGCCATAGCAGCCCGTCATCAGAGGGCGGGACTACACATCTCCACATTAAGGCGGCACAGGCGGGACCTGTGCATGCTGATGGTAAACCAGGCAGGAGAGAGGAGGGGGCACATTAGCTACATGTGGCTCAGCAGATTTAACTGGGCCATACAGTACTATGAGGGGGGAGGGGGGCAAAGTGCAACAGAAATGCTTCAGAATACAATAGAGGCTGTTTGCTGGACGTCCAATGGGGATATTCCTCTTGTGCTTGTTTACCTTCTCCCTGCTTCTCTCACTCTCGCACACAGACATGCACACACACACCTAACCATCATATATGCAAGATCTTCAGAAATCACATGACTGCCACGGAGAGCTGAAAGTCATTCACGTTAAGTGTGGGGGGGATGGGGCACGAGAGGTCAAGCCTCTGGGACATCTGTTCTACCACTGGGAACGGGGACCACTGCACTCAGCCAAAGCCACTGTGAGGCATGACGATGAAATGCAAATTGAGAAAGCTAATGGAAGAAGGGGTGGGGGGGGTCAAAAGAGCCAGGGATGCGCCATGGGTCTCAGGTTACACACGGGCCGCTAGTGCACTGCAGGCTGGAAACTGAAGACTGCTGCCGGCCGTTTTGAGCACAGGAGCTGTGCAGCTCCTACATGGTTCTGAGCACCAGGCCTCTGTTCAGCACCAATACTGCCATGCTACGACCAGGGAGGAGAAGAAAAACGCCATCCACCATAGGAGGAAGGCTGTCACATCACCCCAGCTTCTTCTTTTTAGCTATTTGACAGAAGCTCCACCATCAGAAGACATAGATAACAAAATGACAGTCCTGTGAATCAACCTCCAGCACCGCCGAGCTGATGTGACCGTTTTTATTCTTAGCACAAACTCACAGAACATGCAGAATTTTCAACTGAGAATTCAGTTTTGGAAAAACGCAAATTACAAGTATGAGTAGAATCAGGAGTATGGGAAACGTGCACAGGGCAGTTGGAAACAGAAGGCGGACTTGGGACTCTCTATCCAAATCCCAACAAGAGCTGTACAAATGAGAAAAAATAAAATTTTGATTTGATTTCGGTGGAAGAGTTAGCAATGACTTAGCTGCGGTCTTTTAGTGGATTAAGGATATTGCAAAAAATGTGTGTCTAAACGGTTAAGGAAACATTGTAATCTGTGACCAAACTAAAGAACCACAGAAGAATGAAGGCATCCTGGCTGGCACAGGGGGGTGCGATCTCCTAGCTAGGGCCTCCCAATCCCTGGTCAGCAACCAGCATTCAACTGGACCACAGAATACTGGGGGTTGGGTAATTTCCAAAAATAAACTGTGTTTTCAATTTTTTATAACCCCCACCCTCAATCGCCTCCATTTTACTGGTCCATATGATGTAAATAGGTTCCAGACATCAAAAGATTTGGGAACCCCTATTCCAGGGGTGTCCAATCTTATCCGCAATGGCCCTCTGAGTATTCTGAGTGTATGCCGGTTTTCGCTGCAACTTCCTAATTAGATTACTAATTAGAGGACTGATTGGCTGAAGAGTCCTCACACCTGGGTTTGAACAGCTGACTTACAGGTTATCCCAAAACCGGCCCTTTGCGGATAAGATTGGACACCCCTGCCCTATTCTAAGCCATCTCCAGAACCAAAATGAGATACAGTTGTACCTTTTTACAGAGATGAAGTTATTTGCCAGACTTGGAGACCAAGTCTTCATCATTAAGGTTAACAGCGAAGAGAGAATTAAAAACTCGAATTCAGGGCTGCTAAACGTGACGGCGGAGTCAGCCTCCGCTGCACTCCTTCTCCTGGCCGGGACCGTAGCACAGACCTCTGATTGTGTTACGGACGAACCCCACAGATGAGAGTGATGGCTCGGGTTACGAATCACTGCGGACAGCACGACCCGGGCCGCCATGAGCACCGTGCTTGGTGCGTTACCAGGCAAAATCAGCTCTCTTCAGAGCTGTACAAAACTATTTTGACATATGATGTTACAAAAATGTTGTCTAGTGCTAGACAAATGAAAGTAAAAAACAAAAGAAAAAATGTTTTAAATCAGTGTTGCCATCCCAGGAGAACAGTATCTGCGTTCCCTGCTACTTCTGACAGTTGCATAGCTGTCAAAAACATTCATTCTGGTTGCAGGGCAATTAAGCACTTTGCCTACAACCTTTCACAGACACCCAATTCAAACAGAGTAAACAAGAACACACACACACACCTGGACATGGAAAATCTGAATAAGTCAAAGTTAAGGGTGACAAAAACATGGAGACAGCGTAACAAATTTAAGTAACGTTGCAATGAACATCAAGAGGACAACATGAGACAATCATCTCTCCTTTTTGTGCTTTAAAGCACTACTCACATATTTTGTGCTAAAGAGCAAACATACTTCACCTTAAGGCATGTTCAAAAAAACATAACCTCAAGGCCAAAATTTTACTGCCATTTGTCAAAGCCACCACTCACCCACTCACAGAAATTCTTTCTTCAAGTAGGATTTTAGAAAACATTAACTAGGGCAGCTTGAACTCTCTATTCTAGTTTATTTGATTTTATTAATTTCTTTCCATTTAACCTATTGCATATGCATAACCTGAACTTCCATCACCAGAGGTCTCAATTTCCAGTAATGATCTTTGTGTTGGAATACAAAATGCATATTGAATGGAAGTTATGCCTGCCAGTTAGCATGCACGTCAGCCTGGAATGCACAGTAATTCAATAACTGCTGAAGACCCACAAAAAATTCCTTGAAAGACAGTATTCACTGACAACAATACCAGTCATTTACTAATCTAACAAACACAAAAAAACTCAATATTGGATATTTATGAAAGCCCCAGGTGAGCGTGTGGGTGGGGGCCGATGGCCACAGAAACCCCTGGATGATGATACTCTTTATCAAAGCTGACACACGATCTTCAGTCAAACCTACAACAGCAAGATCACGAGAGCCGCCAGGTCCGCCTAAAGAGACGACGTAAACAAGGGGGATTTAAACCCTGTTAAACCTGCGGGCAGTGATGCAACCCTGGCTGGGGAATTAGGGAAACTGGGTCTTAACTAGCATGGGGAGAAAAAAAATGAGCGTGATTGCAAACTAGTCCAGAAATTCCCACAAAACGCCTGGGGCCACTGTAACGGGACCGACATCCAAAAGCACGAGATTATGTACGTTGCCATCCAACTGTCACCAGGATAACAAAATAAAACGGACAAGCCAGCGCGTCCGTTATATTTACTCACAATAATAAACCTGCTTAATGTCTCCTTCGCAGGTGGTTAGTTAAGGTGGTAACCAGCTAGTTAGCCAGAGGCACTACAGCCAGCGGGTGTAACGTTAAACAACGGACCGGCGGCCCCGAACCACGTACACTCCGGCAGGTCTGACCGAACCGGTCCAAAACGGCGAAAAAAAGAAGCAGCGTTTTTTTTTAATTAAAAAACCTTTATTTCTTTAAACTCACCTCCTGTTCGGCGTCCCCTTGTTCCGAAACCCCGATCTCACTGGGCAGTTCGGCCAGGTCTGTGACCCGAATGAGCCCATCGTGCAGAAAGATCGTCTCCTCCTTCACCGACAGCCACTGGGACGAGTCGGCGGCGCCGGAGCCCATGTCTCTCTCCTCCGAAGCAAAGCCCAGACGGGTCGAACATTAAAAAAAAAATTTAATATAATTTTAAATATTTTAGGTGCTCCTAGACGGTAGGGGGAGGGTTCTACGCGACATACATGGTGCTGTCAGTAACAGAAGAGGAAGGCAAAAAACGGGACAGGGCGTCAGCCGACGCCACCCAGGTCGACGGCTCCGGACACCGCGGCTTAGCCGGGATGCTAATGCTAACGCTGGAGCGGGCTGCTTCTCCGCCGCTTTCTCACTAACGCGGTGGGCGTGACTGCGGCCGCGAACGCTGCTTCTCGCACGGCTCAGTTTGGGATCCCGAGCGGGCCGGCGAAGCGACAAGGATAAAGGAGAGGGAATGGAGAAAACCGTAAAAAGCGCACTGTCGGTGGTCCTGCTCCTCGGGTTATCGGTGGCCAACCAGATAATGGAAGCCCCGCAAGCTGTCAGTGAGACGCCATGTTTCCTAGGCCGAGCGCTCCCAGAATGCACCGCGCACCACGATAAACATGACAACAAATGAGAAGGAGCGCTGAGCTGTTAGTACCCCATCAGTAAAAACCGAGGCAGGCTTTAATGGCAGTTCCATCTACCTATATACTGTACGTATTTACATTGCAATTCTTTATTTTACTTTACAAGAAAAATATATATTTCAAATGTAACATATTGCTTGAATTACTTGATTTGCATATTTACAAGTGTGCCATAGCTAATATGTTTTCATATAAATCTGAGGTTAGACATTATAAAAGCCAGACCCCCTTACCTACAGTACCATGGGTGATAAAGAGATATATTTGCCAGTCTGCGGTGGATGGCCATCGGAGCAGCTAGCTTTCATACCTCGCTAAGTGAAGTCATAAAAAGGGACCAGTGACATCTTTTTCTAAACTTTCTAAAAAAATAAAAAATTTCGAGGTCAAATATATGACAAAAGCGTCATCTGGCGGTTAATCTCGTGTATAAATTATGTATCGCTAATTCCACCAGGGGACGCCAATTGCACATTTTTCTAACCCCTGCGTTGTTCGCCTAACCGTATTTGTGCTCACATTTGTGGTAAACATCTTGATTAAGTTGTGCTAAATATCGTACTTATTCCAGCAGATCCCCTACCTTAAATTATCTTGCACGCACCATAATAAACTCTAAATGTATAAACCAGCTTTGTGTACTAGATTTTCTGTTTTATGAAACAGAAGTGACCATGAAAGAACGTTTTTAGACCGCAAGTACAAGATTTTTTTTTGTACATATACATAGTATAAAGTATAATTATGAGCCACAACATTTAACTATATGCAGAATATAACAATAGAACATAGACGCTCAGCAAAGCAACCTTAAATAATATACAAAACACAGATACACTGTACTTAGATTATAGCTAAATTAGCATTCTCTAGGTTTCCTACAAAAAACAGAATAATACTCACGTTATGTGGTCGTCACATCTAAAATGTCATTCTCAGTGTTTAACCGGTTTGTAAAAGAACCAAATGCCAGAACAGTTCCATTTATCCATTTAGCCCATTATCGAAACACACTTTGAATGGTTCTGTATGTATTTGACCACCCATATGGGCTTTCTCCACTGCCCCACTCAAATTGGCAGCTTTGTGGAATCACTCTCTGTGGCATCTAATAGGATTTACTTCTTCTCAGAAAGATGCCTAATTTTGGCAAAATTAAGTCAAAATCATATTCTGTTAGTTTTTCCGTGTTTCCTCATCCAATATTGTTTGGAATTATGTGACTGAATTACTCAACATCTTTGTAACTAAGTATGACGTGTTATCGGCCTTATAAGGAAAATTCAGACTCAAGACTGGCTCACAGCCTTGCAGAATCAATTTTCACAGACCACCACAGCACTGTGCTGTAGGATAAGACAATCAGAGCACCTTTGTTTTTCCCCTCCTCACTTTACTCTCCGCATAAAATAGTGACATTGTCTCTTTAATTGGTTTTGTTAAATTGAACCAGCTGAGCAGTATTAGCAGGAAAGCTTAACAGCGCTGGATTCATTGCTACTGCCAGCATAAAAATTTTAATTTACCTTCGTGTCCTTGTTCCAATCTTCACTGGGAGCACTCAGTGACTGACAGTAAAAATACAGCACAGACAACTATTTTAAGATATAAGGACTGTTTGCATGTTTACTGTATAATGAACTCCTGAATGATCCCTAAATCTTTCATCTCCCCTTTCATGGGAATTGAATGTGAATAAATTATATTCCAGGAGCATTCTTTCACATTTTCATTGGTATGGAAATAGTGTACCTGTCATGATTACATAACCATCACAAACAAGTTTAGAAAGGTTACCTCACAAGGATGTTTATTTTAGATGTCATGTTGTAGAAATAAATAACACACAATGAATTATAATTATAGACAATACTAGGTTTTAAAAAATACAACAGTAATAGGCATACCAGCTATATCCTACGTTCACAAATATATATATTTTTTAAATATTAAACTTATTTACATTTAAAAACATGCTTAATTTTTAAATTTTGCTAGATATACTACTATACTCAAATACTTCCAAAGGCATTATTCATTAAAGTCTGTAATTCGAAGACATTTGTTGTGTAGCCTGATGGAGACACTCCTCCTCAGAGATTTCCTTATCTTGTCTTTCTTGACTGTGGGGGCTGCTTCTTCAAGGCTTTTCTCACCCTGTTTGTGCTTCTTCGTGTCCAGTGTCAGCTTGAGCTTCTCCACCTGGGAGAGGGAAGCTGGGCAGCTGGGGGAGAAGAGATAGATAATCACAAAACATTTCATAGCAGAGGCACGGGCACCCAAAGACCAACTGTGTCCTGCTGATGGGGCTCCTTGTGGGTCTGGAGTGATACATCTCTCTTCCCCTGGCGTACACCTCTTTCGAGCCCAGTTTATTGTGATAGCAAATATTCCATACAATATCTACATTATACCACCAGCTCTTGAGAAAAAGGTGAGAAATTTGCTCAAACATTTAAACCATTATTGGTGGTGATCAAAGCAACTGATGTATGCTTACATAAATTTAAGCTGAAAGTTCCAATATGTTGGTGAAATATTCAGTATTTCTGTAAGACCTCACCGGTACACACTGTGCTCAGGGCAGTCTTTGAAGACAAAGCACGATGGAGACAGCGACCCCAGAAGCAGCAATATGTGTGTGTCCATGGGGTATCTCACCCGTCTGAGTTCCCGGTGCAGCCTGTGAGGAGAGGGGGGAATGTCCCTTTAGCCATTCCCAAAAGTGGCAGGGGCATCTGTGGGTGAGGGGATGCTAATATGGGGGTGGTGTGTGGCTCTGCTGGTTAAGACCCACTGCCCTTACAGAGAAGGATGCAGGTTCAAATCCCATGGTTGGCACAGTGATTTCACCATCGAGCTCTTGAGCAAGGTCCTTAAGCCCAATTACTCCAGGAAATGGCTGACCCTACTTTGGTGAAAACATCTGCTAAATAAATAAATGTAAATAAAACCTTCATCGATGTGTGTTCAGCTGTGAAGCTTCCTCTCCAGTAACATTGGTCCCTCTGTCTGCTTCCACAGCAGTCTCACCTGTGAACGCAGTTACAGTGGTACAGCACTTTAGCCTCTGCATTAAACAGCCTGTATTGCCTTTCCTGGGGGAGGATCTTGTATCTGCACTCTTCTAGGGACCTGTAGTATTCACAAAGCTGCAGTCTGTCTGCAACACAGAGCATAAGCAATTTCCTTACTGGGCATATATGAGACATAAGTAGTTAAGTTAAAATCTGGAACAACAAAACCGAAGCAAATGAAATTTACACAAATGCACTATAAACACCAATGCTGTGTGAAATTTGCTCATCTCTGTATCTTGTTCCTTTAATAGGCCTTAGGTAATGACACATTACAAAACAAGACTCAGAATGACTTCACATTACTGGAATATTTCTGTAATCTTCAACCGTCATTTCAGGCAGTGTATATTATGGGCTACAATTAGCCACAGGTAATTCTTGCATCTGCAGATTCGGTGAAGCTGGAGGGTAAACCTCTGCCAAGCAAGCTGTAACTCCAAGCCCGTGCATGTCCTTTCCACTAGCAATCACCTCCACCTCCCACTTCAAAAGTAAATAACCTGATAAGCATGTGCATGTATGACATAATTCAGGGTTTACTGCATACAAAGCCTCTTTTAAATTCACTCTGAAAGCCTGCATTAGGGTCTTCCCATATGCCATACTAACAAATTAGATCAAAATGAAAAGAATGTGCAGCTGATATGCACCATTAAAACTGGTCCATATGCTTTTCAAAAAATTGAAAAGCAGAGTTTTGTATTCTTTTGTTTAATAAATGCAGCCAATAACCATAAGGCTTATTCATACACTTTCTGTTTGAACCTACTAGAAATATTTCAATTCAAATATCAAAATAATGACTTATTCTGTTGAATTTCACTTCAGTTTTGGCTGATACCTTTGTGTCTGATTTCTGCACTGTGTCTTTCAGAGGAGCCATTACTTGGGGTCCAGGGTTGTGTGACAGTCATAGCATCTGCGGAACCCAAGTGGTTGTGGATGCTGGGGAGGAATGTGAGATCCATCACAGGTGTGCTCTTCAGGGTAGGCCCCTGTGTCGGGGGTGAGACTAAGAGCTTCATGCAAGTGTTCTTTCGCTTTCTTCTGCCAGAGTCCTTCCCCTTTCTCCTAGGGCCCCTAAAGTTGTCTCCTCGAGGTGGGTCCTGTCGGCCGTGGTCTACTGGTCGCTTTGAGTGCTTTGTCTTGGGGTGTGTTGATTGGCTGGTTGCAGTTGTGGTTGGTGGGATGTTCTTGGGATGCTTTGCTCTGGAGCGTGTTGATTGGTTGGTTACGGTTGTGGTTGGTGGGATGTTCTTGGGTTGCTTTGCCCTGGAGCATGTTGATTGGCTAGTTATGGTTGTGGTTGGTGGGATGTTCTTGGGATGTTTTATCCTGAAGCGCGTTGATCGGGCGGTTGCAATTTTGATAGGTGGGATGTTCTTGGGATGTTTCGTCTTGGAAATTGCTGATTGGCTGGTTGAATTTTTGGTAGGTAGAAAGTTCTTGGGGATATTTGTCCTGGAACTTCTTAGTTGGCTGGTTGTATTTGGAGCCACTGACATTTTTTTGGAAGGCTTGTCCTTGGAACTTGCCAATGGGCTGGCTTTATTACTGCTAGGTGTTTTTTTTTGTTTTGATCTGAGAATTTGGCTGGTTTTGGTGGGTGAGATACTCTTATAGGGGTTTTTCTTGGTACCTGATGTTTTCCTAGGTTTTGTGGTTGGTTGGTTTAGTAGTTTCAACCTGAGACCTTCTGATTCGCCAGCTGAGGCTCTGGTAGGTAGGGCATATTTGCTGTCCTCTGTGTTTGTCCTGAAGTTTATCAATGGGCTGATTGTAGTTGATGTGTTTTTTGATGGTTTTGGCCTAGGGCCCACTGTTTGAATGTGTATAGCCCAGGTAGGTGGGGTATTTTTAGTTTTAGAGGATTTTTTCCTTGGTCTTGTCAGTGGGGCGACCATAATTTTGGGAGGTGAGATGTTTTTTGATGATTTCAGCCTGAGGCCTAGTGACTGGCAGGCTTCAGTCGAGGCGTGTGAAGTGCTCTGGATGACTGTGGCTGGGGAGCAGGTGGTGTTCTGGAATCCAGCCGGAGCTGCAGTAACGAGAGGAACACCCACCCTCTCATGCCTGCGGGGCAGGTGCATGCTATTGTACAAGGCAGGACTTCTGAA